CAATTGCATTTCCTTTTTTCTTTATGTGTTTTTAAAATTTACATCTGTTTTTTGTTTTTGCCCATATTACATTAGATACCGTCGTACTGCAGATCCAGCAGTGGAGGGGGGCAGGAAGTCAGCAGGTTGAAGAGCAAGCCCTTCTCAATGGAATTCCTTTAATGGGAAAAAGCCCAGAATTCAATGCAGTTATCAAAGCCGTATTAGATGACACACGCCTAACATCTCTTATCAGTTTCAACCAGACCTCTTCAATAAGTAAGAAAATCAAATTGTCTTGTTTTACAACTGAACGTTTGTGTAAGTGAGATTGTTGTCACCAGGGCCACAACCCATTAACTCTCAACAGGTAACCACACCATTCTTCATTCTCGAGAATGTACGTGGGAAGGGTCTAAGGTGCGCTGGGCAGATCGTGTATTTGCTGACAGCCAGTTGTACCTGACTCTCAACCAGAATGACATGTGGACAGCCCACGTACAGGAGGCGGTGGCCATCAAAGTGGTTTGGGACCAGGAAGTGCAGCAAACAAGAGCAGAGAGACTCCATCTGCAGGAGGGATGCGTCAAGCTGATGAAGCATTTGAACCTTTCTGAGAAACAGTCAGGTATATTTTACTTCAGGCTGTTTTCCTGCCTGCTTTAAGCGCTGCGGAACAAAATCAGTTCAATAAAGTGTTGAACTTAGAGAAGCTTTTTTACTCCTGCTCCGACTGCCCTTTTTAAACTTGTCAGATTCTCCAACAATAACTGTAATAACATTTTTATAAGCAACCCATAAGTATAATATGCAGTAATTCATGTCTGAATACAAAAATAACAAAATATTTTCAATGACATATACTTGGATGATACACTGCTCTTCAAAAGTCTCGAGCCGCCCCTCATTTATTGTTATATGTTTCTAGGAAAATGGGAAATAAGTGCAGTGACTTATTGAAATGTAAATTTCTACAAATCTGTGCACTTCTAACAAGCTTGAAAGTCAATATTTGGTATGATCACCTCTATTCTTCAAGATTGACTCCTTTGTTCACAGTGAGTCATTATCTGGGACAAACACTAAGCTGATATCTTTAACTCCTTTGCAGTGATTACAGACCTAAAAAATGAACATTTAAGTACTTACATTTCCATCACAGTTGGGCAGACTTTGTTAAGAATAAGAAGACGATGTTACTGAGTCGACTTCGATTAGCCTGCAACTGTAGAAAACAATAAAGTTAGTTTAAATTTATCCTTACTGTGTCATATTTGATTTGAGGATATGCTGAAATTCCTTATCCAGAAACAGGACATTTATTTATTTAATGCTAATCTTTTTAAAATGCAGAAAATGTGTAATAATGTATCTCATAATCATTTCAGTTATTTAGTTTTAAAAGCCTCTTTGAAAGTAGTAGTAAAGGAATGTAGTACAGTTCTGTGCAAAAGTTTTGAGCCACCCCTCATTTAATTGAAGTAGGTGCAACGATTTATTCAAGCGTGCACAAAAAAAAAAAAAAAGGCAAAACCAGTTTGTCCAAATGTAAGAAGCTTGAAAGTCAATATTTGGTATGACAACCTTTATTCTTCAACACACGCTGAACTCTCTTAGGCAAGCTTTCTGGTCATTTCTTTAAGTAGTATTCAGGAATAGTTCTCTGGGCTTCTTCTAGTGCACCACTGTGGGTTTTTCTATATAGGTGTGTTTTTACTCCCTTGGAATCATTTTTAGGCTGGAAATGGAAACTGGTCTCATTAAGATGCTTTTTAAGGGTTGGTGGCTCAAAATTTCTACATTTATAATTTCATCATTGTTGACAAGATCTCCAACACCACTTGTGGAAATACAACCCATAACCATGACAGAACCTCCAACATGTTTTACAAATAGACACTCACTGAGACGGTACTATTTTATGTCTGTCATACTGTGTTGTCTTTTGCATTGTTCAGAATCAGCTAAAGAAATGGGAACAGCTGCTTGTAACAAAGAGCCTAAAAGCACAATTTAAAATTGGTTATTTGCTAAGTTCGTTATAAGTGCTCTATAAGCAAACATAATACCGGTTTATTGTTTGAGGTAAGTTTATGCTTAAATGATTCATAAGTCAGTGTTACATGGCCTTATCAAACAACAACAATAAAAAAATACAACAGATTTGTCTGAAAATGGTCAAGCAGCCAATGTCCAAAGAAAAACTTTGAAAGCCTGGACTTGAACTGTTGTTAATGACCAGACAAGAGTCTGGCTTGAAATACAAGATATAAACAAATAAGGGGCAGCTCAAGACTTTTGCACAGTTATATATGACGCTAAAACAGAAAAATGGGCATGTACTTAAACAAAACAACTTTGTTTCATGCAGATACAAGAGTTCACCTCCACATACAGGACATACGTGTTTTGGAGTGGAAATTTTTTTGTTGACTGTCGGGTTACAAATTTAACATATTTTCTTAGTTCCAGGAATTCTTCACCTTCATCTTCTGGTCCCAGTCCTGGCGCTCATTGTGTTTGGTGTACTAATTATGGTCAGCATCATTATCTACAAAATAAAAGGTGGGCATTGAGAATTTTGCTTTCTTTCCATTTAGATGTCAGCACATGAAGTTGTGCATCCTTTATTCACAGTTCACTGCAGGCTTAATGTAGCAACAAGATGCATGTTTAAGAGGTGACTGCAGTCCAGTGTTGCACATTGTCATTTAACAGAATGTGCTGACCTTTATCTCTGCCCTAACTTGTCACATGATTTTAATGACTTTTATAC